ACCGAAGTGTCGGGGGAGGCATCCATGATTCGGTATAACGAGATATTCGGTATAGTGAGGTACCTCTATATAACGAAATTAGTCCTAAGGTCAAGCAATATTCGGTATAATGAGACTTACAATATGTGAATAATATCTTTACTCTAATTATATTTACGTCTCAATTAATCGTATGTTCGAAAATTGCATAATGAAACAATATACAATAGATATGAAATACGGCTGAAATCAGATACAACCAAAAATATATGACAGCAAAATCATAACTACTGATCGAATTGTGTGACCAAAATCATGTGATCCTCATCTGCTACAACCAATCACTATTCTATATTGTTTATCACGTGACAAAACTTCGGTATAAAGCGATTAGTAGCTTATGTAGAAATCCTGCATCGAACTTCGGTAACGGTATAACGAGATTTTACTATTAAATTCGTTATAACGAGGGAATTTTACTATTTAAAAAACGGGGGAGCCAGAATTCCTTCGGTATAACGAGTTCGACTGTATTACTTGTGCGCCAAAAATGCGGAATTTCCGTTTATGGTAAATTAGATGTTACATTTAATTCCCAACAGTTTGGTATTAATTGATACTTTTCCTCCAATCATTTCGTAGTACAAAATTTTAAACTAAATGATATTTTTCGACTCGACTTAACTTTATTTAAGAAATGTTATTATTATTATCGGACTGGTTAACATAAGTTACGGCGACACTAATATAATACGCAGAAACGTAAAGGCGAAGTCATAACCTCTTTGGAAAAGTCCGAGTACAAAGATTATAGAACCATTGCGAGGGATTGCGGGTAGCTTTAATAGCAAGAGTGAAAGATCTGTCTGAGAAACGTTATATGGACTGCTACGTAAGCTACGGCGATAAAGGCGAAGTCATAACCTCTTTGGAAAAGTCTGAGTACGAAGATTACAGAACCATTGCGAGGGATTGCGGGTAGCGTTAGGAGCAAGAGGGAAAGAACTGTCTGAGCGAGTGACAGGTGAGAATATATATGAGAGACAGAGAGAGCAAGAGAGTGTAAGAATAATAAAGCAAATCAAAAGAGTGAGAGAGTGAGAAAGTAATTGTGAAATAGCAAGAGTGTGATCACGATAAAGAGGAGGTGAACAAAAGAGTGGAATTATTGAGAGTGATGAACAAGTGAAAGACCGAAAGCATGATTGAAGGATAAGAGAGCGATTGAAAGAAGTAGAGATATGAAAGAGTGAGAATTAAAATAGTGAGAAATTGAAAAGAGTGTGAGTGATTGCAAGAGGAGCGAGGGAGAGCAGGAGAATGAGTTTGAAAAAGATCGAAAGAAAGAGGGGAGATCAAAAGTGTAATCATTGGATAAAAGACTAACTACACAAAAGTGTGAGCAATTGGAGTAGAATTGGAGAGTGATTGGGAGAATGATTGGTTGGGAGAGTGGTTGGGAGAGTGGTTGGGAGAGTGGTTGGGAGAGTGTGATTGTGACGGTGATTGGGACGGTGATTGGGACGGTGATTGGGACGGTGATTGGGACGGTGATTGGGGAAAAGAGCAGCGGTGTAAGAGATTGAAAGAGCATAAGAAAGTTATCGAAGAAGCGAAAAGGGGAGATGGAAATTAACATGCCATGGGCATAGAGTTTTTGGTTGTTGAGTTGTTAGTGATTGACGACGAACATCGATTTACACGTTTTCGAAGAATCAAGCAATCGGTATATGCAAATTCAAATCATGCTTAATAGTCGGTGTCATTCGCATTTACATTTTCATTAGTCTCACTGTTAACCGTCCTCGTCATACCGTTTCTTAAATAAATAAAGTTACTAACAGCTAATAATGGATCCGAAATGTCGAATCGAAAAGCGTACGTTTAAATGTAAATTTAGTACACTTTTGTGCTACGAAATGATTGGTCTCTCTTCTTCACAACTTAAATCAAACACATTAGTCAATTCGAGAGTTTTGTTCGAGCACAACTTGTTTGTTTTCTTCTGGTCATGACCCGTTCTTGTCGTTATTTTGCTGTCTTGGTCGTTTCACATTGTACATGACAATGGTTGTTGGCCCAGGGACACCTCTCTTTCGGGTTTACTTTTGTAACAGAAACGCTGAAAACAATCATAAATATTTATATTCGAATCCCAGTATTCTTTAGTTATTCACTGAAACATACATTCACCATTTTTTCCTCCTTAACCTTAAACCAGCGATCATGTATCACAGTTGCTTTACGGAGTTCTCTTCCTTGAAATTGGTAATGCTCACCAAACTTTATTGAATTTGGTGATTAATACAAGGAACAATGTTCCTCGGCTTCGCAAACAAATTCTAAATACGCAATACTTACAACCGTAATATTTATATCCAAATGTTAAACATGAATAGTTGTACGTACTAACTATCCGGTAAGAAGAACATCTATTTTTCGACTGTTAATCACAGTCCAAATCTCTCTCTCTACAACCCGAAAATGTCCGTACTAAATTAGACAAACAAGCGTATCACAAGTCTATGTATGGTTTACATTTCATCTATACGGAGGCCATCTAACACGTCGTTTAAATACGGGCCTAAAGACAATAAACTTATTAGTTATTATTATTTGATTATACAGGTCTCTTGATAATTACAAGTAGTCTCAAAATGGCTATATAGAATTATGCAGTTTAATATGATGTCAAGTAAACTTATCTTACCTTTTTAGACCTGTCTCTGGTGCAATAAAAGGAATTATACCAATATTAATATTTATTATGTACAAAGAGCACTCGAAATAACTGAAACAAGATTTTACCATTCTTGTAGGTCAAACGGGAACGGAGACTGCTCGGCTCCTTTATCTTTATATATATAGCGGACGCTATAATATCGAAATATTGTTCCTAGCGCCAATATTTCATTTGGGGCCCAGTCAATCTCGCATAGGGACAGGGAATTATTCTTCCCTGTCCCATGATTCCTTGTGCACATCTCCTGTGCACGGGAGAATAGGCCCCCCATGCATTGGCCCACTTGCTTACTGTTCGCCATGTTATTCTTGCAAACAGTAAGCACACGTTTTTGAAATCTGACGGGCTAAGAAAGTTTTGTTCGACGTCCAAGTTTTATTGTAAACAAAGAAAAAAGGTGAAATTATGATAAATAAACTGCCATTATAGTACGATATACGTGTATAACAAACGTGTATAACAATAACAATATAAATCTCACCATGTCTCCGTCCTCCTAAGAAAGTTTTGTTCGTCGTCCGAGTTTTGTTATATCAAACAAGCTATGGTAAGTAAACTACGATTATGGTACGATACATAGCAATATAATCTTACCGCCGTTTTCCCCTCCCCTTTTTCAGCCTCCTAAGAAAGAGATGAAATTATGATAAATAAACTGTCATTATAGTACGATATATAACAATATAAAACTCACCACGTCTCCTTCCTCACTTTCTTTAACTTCCTAAGAAAATTTTGTTCGTCGTCCGAGTTTGGTATATCAAACAGGTTACGGTTATGATAAGTAAACTACCATTTTGGTACGAATGTATAACAATATAATCTTACCGCTCTTTCCCCCGACCGTTTTTTAGCCTTCTAAGAAAGAGGTGAAATCATGATAAATAAATTGTCATTATAGTACGTACGAGATATAACAATTAAAATTCACCACGTCTCCTTCCTAAGAAAGTTTGTTCGTCATCCGAGTTTGGTGTATCAAACAAGTTATGATAAGTAAACTACCATTATGGTACGATGTATAGCAATATAATCTTACCGTTTTTTTTCCCGATCGTTTTTTAGTCTCCTAAGAAAGTTTTGTTTACCGTCCGAGTTTTTTGTATCCAAACGAGAAAGACAAGGATGAAGTTACGATACATAATAGTACGATATATAACAATAAATTTCACCTTGTTCTTCTCCCCTTTTTTTTCAACTGCCTAAGTTTGCGTTCGAGTTTTAAACAGGAAAGAAAAAGGTGAAGTTATAATAAGTAGACTGCCATTATGGTACGATACTAATACATAACAATATAATCTCACCTTTCTTTCAGCCTCCTAAGAAAGTTTGTTCGCGTCCGAGTTTTAAAAGGTGAAGTTATAATAAGTAGACTGCCATTATGATACGATCTAATACATAGCAATATAACCTCACCTTTCTTTTAGCCTCCTAAGAAAGTTTTGTTCGCGTCCGAGTTTTAAACAAGAAAAAAAAGGTAAAGTTATAATAAATAGACTGCTATTATGGTACGATACTAATACATAACAATATAATCTCAGCCTCCTAAGAAAGTTTGTTCACGTCCGAGTTTTAAAAGGTGAAGTTATAATAATAGACTATTATTATGGTACGATACTAATACATAGCAATATAATCTCACCTTTTTTTCTATATTTTTTTCATACTCCTAAGAAAGTTTTGTTCGCGTCCGAGTTTTTACACAAGAAAAGTTATAATAAGTAGACTATTATTATGGTACGATATTCGGCAATATAAATCTCACCAATCGCTTTCTGAGCTTGTCTAAAACTCCAAATACGTTGGAAGTTCTATCCGACTTCCCATCAGTATAGAACTTCAACATCCTGCTACTAGAACGATTTACAAAGCGAGACATTTTTTTTAGACTTACGGAGCGTTTCCCAGTAGGCGACAATTTATAATTCACATTCAATAGCGTTGCTTTCTCAAATATTCATTTACGTATATAGAAAAGGCTGTTGAGTAGACTCCTTGCAACTATAGCAAATTACCGTGTACGTACGTAGTTCGAGAACCTTATGTTAAATAAGCCAATCAAAATTTTTATTTGGAACTTTAAAAAAATATATATATAATAATTCGAAAGCTATCAACAATTTTTCTCTAAAATAGATGTCCGGAAACAGGCATCAATTACAGAATCTTTTGCAATAGTTAATAAGACGCTGATTAGTGTTAGAGATGGAAATGTAATGATTGGTGTAGGTAGGGATAAATAACGTAGCAATCACGACACCATTGTTTCTAAAGATAGACGCACCAAAAAAGATATCAATTACAGGATCTGTTGCAACAATAGCGGATGCTGTAATCTGATTAGTGGCGGAAACGTTATTAGATGAATAAATACGTAGCTACGTAGTATTATCTCTAAAAATAGATGCAAGAAAAAAAATTCAATTACAAGCGTCTATTGCAATAATAATGGAGCTTACAATAATTAGAGACAAATCTGGACAGATACATTCGTTATTATTACGGCTTAATAATAACGCTTCAAGTTTTTACTCGTTATCAATTCAATCTACCCGGTACGCAGTTATGAACTTTGCCTTTCAAACGTCAGCTTTGGACAGAAACTCATGGAATCGATCTTCATTTTCTAACGGACCGATCGAACACCCGTTTTGCGTCGGTTGCACGCTCATAACCGAGTAGTCCGCAGAAGAAGTATTTAGAGGTTGTAATAAAAAATGCATATTGACGCTATTGGAGATACAATCTAGCAGTGTATATAGCTGATAGTAATAGTAGATAACATAGTGATTAAATAGGTTAGCTCGGGCTAACCATTTCAAGCAATCAAACATGGGAAGAATATGTAAATGCAAGTTTTACCCATTTACTCGTGATCCTGAATTCTTGTACCATTTAGGGAACGGCAGCTTTTTGTCAAACAATTCGTACAGCAGTATTGCATAATCTATACAGCGATTGTAGCTGCAGGTGTGACGTTTACAATAATTTTTTACATTGACCAGTTAGATGCTTATTTGAATTAGCTGACAATTGATGAAATTAATTAAACAATGAACGGCGACGTGTGAGTTCATTAATGTCAGCATCTGAATTCACAACAAGCAGAAATATCATTAATTGGCTGCGTTTAATATATATGTTGTACCTCAGTTGGAGACAATAAAACCATCTCAGTTCTGGACTATCTCAGTTGAAGTCATTATACAAACTCTATTGCTACACTTCGCTGTACATACCATTGAGTGATCGTTGAACAGACGATAATAAGCAAAGACATTCATAATAATTGCAAGACTATTATCCATTTCGCAAGACATTTCAGAATAACTGCATGCTGATATTGTACAGCGATACAAATGTATGTTTCGACGAACATACCTATGACGACTTTTATTTAACGTACCGTATATAGATGTATTAGACATGTTATGGTAAAGTGATTGAATATGCCGATACTGCAATAACGAAATTTGCTTGTACATTTCGAACAAACAAAATACAATTTTCGATTGGCGTATTTCTCCCATTTAGGAGAGTAAAGAAATTTTTCACGATTGCGACAGACTAAAATAAAATTGACTCAAAAAGTTGTTTACGAAGTAAATAATCAAATGTCTTTTCCATATTTGTTTATCAGTACAACCTTGATTAACAGATACTTGTTCGGACATCAATATGAGAGCTATCGAGAAAAAAGCGTAAGGATTGCGATAATACATAACTTTGTGCATGCTTGTTAGTAAGGGGGCGATTTATCATAAAAATATAGCAGTATTTGCCAACAATGGAAAGAAATTTTAGAATAAACCGCATGCTAACTACTGTACATCAATACGAATACAATGTTTAAACGAGCATATGTATAATGAATTTTATTTAACGTACTGTGTATGGTATCTGGCGATGTATTAAATAATGTTTATTAGACTTGTTATGGTCGAATATGCCGACACCGCAATATAACGCAATTTGCTTGAACAAACAAAATACAATTTTCGATTAGCGTATTTCTCCCATTTAGGAAGTGAAGACGATAGACTAAAATAGTGATAAACATTTTTTATACCGGGTTAAAATCGAGTCGGTTTAAAAGAATAAACAAAATATTTTCTCTTTTGTCGTATCCAAACTTGAGCAATTTACTGAACAGGCTAGCTTGTGTACTTATATTGGGTTATTGGGTAGTTCGATCAATTTTTGTGAATGGCTTATTATGCATCACCCAGCGATACTATATACAGTATGTCGTATGTCAGTTGGGAATTTATGTCCATTCCTGATTGGAATAGTAAAGACAATCAGGTAACAACATTATAAAAGTATTTTATTGACATTACGATACGATATCAACCCTACTTGCGTATAAACAACTGGGTTTTTGTTATAAATATATGTTATTTAACGTCTGTAAATTTTATAAATAATCTATATAAGCGCAAGTAACTTGTGGTATGGTATTACTACTGTGAAAGAATACTTTGAGCTACTGAATACGTTAGCGATAGTCCTTCTATTGGTGCGGGGATGCAAACACAATCGTGAGTAAACATAAAAAAAAAGACGTTAGCTAAAATTTTCCCATTCAAAATTTCACTCGGTATTTAATGTTAAGACTTAACCATTTGGGTTTAGGCTTAAGGTGGTGCGACATACCAACTTGTCAACCAAATTTGGTCTAAATACGGGGGATCGTGTGAAATTTAACAGATCTGCAGAACTCAAAATAGCTAGCGTGGTTAAGCGATAAACAGAATGATAGGACAGCAGTGTACTGTTCACCGTCACCATCTGTACAGAATTCTATGCGTAATAAACAATTTTCTTTACTCAATTCATCATACACATAACATTAATTAACAAATCTCCTTGAATTGACAAGTCTAATAACCAAAAAGCAACCTCCTACAACCGTTCAAATAATAGTCATCACAAACCACCTCCACATCTTTCAAGCCACCTTCGACGCTTCCCAATTGGCTCAACACTCTTGACATTGCACTTCCGACTCCCCAACAAGCTCTACGGTCTTCTCTTTCTCTCCACATATCCAGCCAAGCATTCGTTGACAGTCTTCTCACCAGTAGCAGCAGACATAACCCATTCAAAGAAATCTGTACAAGTACCACACTGCTGTTTTATTTCCCCATCCGATATTTTGCCACACTACTCGCATCGTCCTGATACACTTGACATCATACGATCTGATCGGGGACCGTTTGGGAAAAACATAGAACCGGGTGATGGTAAGCCCATGGGAGAATGGAAATACGTTGCATTTTTCGTAGCGGAATTATTGTGTTGTGGAGGAATCGAGGGCGATTTCAACGTTGCTGAAGCAAAGAGTTCAAGTATGGCAGTTGTCTGGGGGTGGTTGGGTGGCTGGCTTTGGGTCGCGGTTTCGATAGGCGAGACGCGGATGTAGACGATTGAACTGGGTGAGATTAAACGTTTATGGTTTATTTATGTAAATACTTTAAAGTATAGGCTTTCTTTCTGTCCGAACACATATACGTTTAACTTGCCGTCTTTACCTTCTTGCTTAATCCAGATGCGCCATTCTTGGTGTTACCACTAAAGCTTTCTCTCCTTCATTGGAGGCTAAGGCACATATCAGATATGTGTGGCTTGACTTGCAGATCTAACAGTCCGAAAATTTTGTTCTGCAGATCACTTATAAATCACATGGCATTTGCCCAATAAAATTCAAATTCCGGGTCAAAATCATCCCTGTGTAAGGAAAAACTTTAATGTTGGACTCGGAAATCAATGTTGCAGAGCAAATTGAACAGCACATACTTACCTATATAATGCATTTAAGAAAATTTATCGAACTAATTTGTTCGTAATTTCTCCCATGCATTTTCTGTGCGATTTATATTTTCTAGCAACGTATTCCGCTAACTTACTTGTAACTCCGTGTCTATACAATCCATATACTAATACGGCTTTTCTTTTAGTATGTCGAGGCATAATAAACAATAAAGAATATGCTAATTATTGGATAATGTAAAGTTACACAAAAAGTTGTACAAACTGGACGTCCGAAATTTTCATTTTTCCTTAAGAAACTCAAGAAAACTGTTGCTTTTCAAATGCCTAAAACTCGAAACTTTTTTAGTTGATTAAAAATTTTAAGCTGTAACTTTTACTCTGCTATCATTCTTACGGATTAGTTTTTCTCTAAACCCTTAACATAAAAGCCTTAGGGTTTTGAAAGTTGGGTATTTTATTTCGGGCTATAGATGTCCTGCACCATAGATAAGTTTACGAGTTTGTCGTCCCACTTGGGTACTCGTGACCCACAAAAAAATGTGATGACAGATTTGCATTCGTGTCGTCGTTTTCTGTCTGCTTTTAA